TTCTCAGCGTATATCTAACGATATGGCTGAACAATACAAGTCGCATGCTCTCTCGTCTATCCCTCACCACTCGAAAAACCTCTTGAAGCATTTGAAGCGCTCGATAATAATTCGTTCAAGTTGTAGGTCAGTTTTATGACGAAGCTGGAAAGTAAGCTCACATGTGGTTGGTTTTCGTACTCCATCCAAATCCCATATGTGATTGACTTGTCCAAGATGGGTACGATTGAAAATAAGCTCGTGCATACAATCCACAACGCCATAGTCAAAGGAAGGCATCATCTGAAGGGCAATATCCATAACATGCTCAACAGAGTAGCTGCATTCCTTACTTTGTTAGCCATTAACTTCGGATGCTTAGCGAGCCAGACGAAATCCTCTACGCCAAAAACACATACCATGTGACGATAACGCTGTGAACGGCATCTCAATTTGTTACCGGTGGTCCATGTGTCTATCCTGAAACGAAGCTACTCGAAGCGGTCCCGCACAATTCTCGCAGTGGTACTGGCGTAAAGTTCAGTGTTATACGTACGTCCACTGCGGAGTTACAATTAACTGGGCGCCGCTTTGGGTTACGGTAGCGTGGCGGTAATACTGAAGTTAGCTTCTTGTGAACTTACTGCCATATCTTCTCTTGTTGCATACGATTGTACAAAAACCTGGACTGCATGGATTAAAAATGACTTCACGATCTGCACTGAAAGAGAGCCGTCGACAAAGCACAATCAATCCCAGCTCAGAAACATCTGTCTCATCAGTTGTCCCGACGTTATGATAGCGGGCAGCAGCCCCTGCTCGATCCCCCCCCACTCCCAGAGGTTGATCGCTTTTGAATATTCAGAACGGCAGACCTTCTAGATCCATGGATTGTCCTATCCACCTTATCAACCCGCCCGTTTCGCTCGCTTAGTGGAGCTGTAATGGTAGGAGCCTAGGTTGTGAGTTGGGAAAATGCCCGACGTGCCCAGTAAGGCTACATTCATAGTTTGCGGCAGGGTCCACCAACGTTTACCAGCGTCCACCAGCGAGCACCAGAGAGACCACTTCCGAGCGCCCTGCAGCGTCAGCGACTAGGAAAGTATAGGTATCGATCTAGCGTCTGCCAGCGTCTGCCAGCGTCCACCAGCGACCGGGAGTAGAGAGTATGGGGAAGTAGGAGGGTAGCAAACAGCTGGATTAGGCGTCGTGAAATTGCGGCGTGTGCAACCGCACCGTACAACTACACTACACCGCCATTGAATTGCATAATTCTGTGCTTTAGCAGTTGTGCGGTGCGGTTGCACACGCCGCAATTCACGACGCCTAATCCAGCTGTTTGCTACCCTCCTACTTCCCATACTCTCTACTCCCGGTCGCTGGTGAACGCTGGTGGACGCTGGTAGACGCTGGCAGACGCTAGATTGATACCTATACTTCCCAGCCTTCTAGACGCTGGCAGACGCTGGGGAAGTTGCCGCAAAATATGAACGCAGCCTAACCATTTCTCCGCACTTTGGAAGCATTTGTCGAGCGCAGCGCATTCTTCTCAGGTAGGTGCCGGCTGTCGAACAACTCACGTTCTCCGTTGTTGTGGTGCAGCCGCCGACGGAAGTCTTCGAATGGACTATGGAAGTACAAACCTGAGGAAATTTAGATTTGTCTCCTTCCGTCAGTCCGGTCACTGGATATTTCGTTGTCAGGACAGGATCACTTTCCAGGTAGTAGATCTCATAGTCGCCAAAATTCGTTTCCTGTGAGCTTCGAGTCTCCTGTCATTGTCGATTTGCCCGATTGAAGAGAACGCTTGCTCTGCTGTTGTAGATCACGCTGAACTAGCGGGATAAGCTACACATGGATTAACACATGGATTTTTTTTTCTTGATAACAACTGGATGGATTCCTTTCGGTACCGGGCAATGCCAAGTATGTCAGTAAAGAGTTTAGCACAGGATATATAAGCTATTTTCCCTTTAAAGTGTCACGCCTTTTTTTCAAACCAAATTCACCCCTTTTCAAACCAAATTCACCCCATCAAATTGAGCACACTTATTAGGACGGGCAACTCATCAACCAGATCACGCCATCTGCGAGCCGCCCCGACGGCCACGCCACTTGTCAGCGCGGACATAGATTCTCAAATCTTGTTTCATAACTTCTGCTTTTGCTGTTTCCCACAAACACTTTGACTGGAAACGACCGGGCATTGACACATGGCCGACTCTGCCCATTCTCTAAAAGGTTTGGCAATCTGGGCCGACCACGCCCACTTGCTTTTCGCGGACTTTCGATGTTTTTTCAAAATTTTTGCATTTTAGGGCTGCTGCGTGAAGCCCCGCCCACTGTGAGAGGCTCCGCCCACTTTCGAAGAAGCCCCGCCCACTTTTCAAAAATGGTGCAAATCGGCAGTATAGAGCCTTGGCTTGCATGCTAGGGTCTCGTTCGTCACTCGGAACAAGAAAATCCGGCAAAGTTGTCTGGCGTGATCTGCTTGATGAGTTGCCCGCCCTAATAAGTGTGGTTAATTTGATGTGAAAAAGTGAGGGTGAATTTGGTTTGAAAAGGGGTGAATTTGGTTGAAAAAGGGTTGATTTTCCTGGTTTGAAAAATGGGTGTTTGGTTTGAAAAAGGGTGGATTTGGTTTGAAAAAGGGTGAATTAAAGTAAAAATGGTATATATCACAAGCACCGTGATGGAAATTCATACCGCATTGGGCGGCTTTCTCAGCTTCATATAAGGAATCTGCCAAAGCAAGCGCTCCCGCTCTCGTTCTTCCTCTCGAACTCTGAACATCAAAATACAATGTCTTTGCTAAAGGCGTCTACAACGCTTGGCCGTC